AAATCAAACATTTAAAGTATATTTTTATACCTTTGTTAATTATAAAATAAGCAATTAAAAAGATCTATTACTTATGATTAAATTTATATATAACAACACCATTTCCTTTTTAACATATTTAACTCCCTTTTATACAAATTACGGATACCACTTTATAGCTTATAATCCATCGCGCGGCGCTCCTAGGAACCTAAGTAGCAAATTATATACCCATTAAATGATTACGGTTTATTAAAAGGTGCGATAGAACTTGAAAAAAAGCTGCTAACGAATGAAAGATTGAACTAATAAACGAAAAATTAAAACGCTTATATATATAAAAGACCAATTAATTATATTAAATGCAAAGAACATCAAAACTAGAAGGCTTGCAAAAAAGTTAAATAAGAAAATGCTCGGTCCCTTTAAGATCTAGAAAGTCATATCCCCTACCGTTATCAGGCTTACATTACCTAAAAGTTGGAAAATTCATAATTTATTCCACGTCTTGCTCATTAAACCCTACCGCGTTAACAATCAAACACTCCTTAACCTTAACCAAATCTTGCAACAAGTAAACCCAATAGAGTCCAAAGATTATCAATTGAAAATGATCAAAGACTCCTTAACCTTAGATGGGAACATAAAATATTTAATCAAATGAAAAGGATGGCCTAAGAAAAAGGACTGGACTTGGGAACCATGGGAGCACTTGTTCAGTAATGGAGCAAAGGCCGCAATTAAACAATTCCATTAGCATAACCCTGGCAAACCAAAAGACCCCCGAGCCGGCGAACTATAACAAGCGCTCAAGGACAAGCTTAAAGAAGGGGGGAGATCGTGTCACACGGCCAGACACGGCACGGGGTGCCAAGAGATGCTCCAGAACCTTATAAGCCAATCGTTTAGGCAATACATACATATGAATGTGGTCCCAAGGCAGAGGTGTTGGTGATGGAGGCATTGGGGATGTTCCTATAGGTCGAACCACTATACGGCAACCTGCAAGACGTACCAACAGCGTCTCGGGCGCTTGAAGAAGATAAGGATGACTGACTAAAGATGGTCAACCCAACGTGTATAAATAGGGGCCTTCCTCCCTCTTTCTCAAAAGGAGAGGAGGTCAAGGCCCTTAAGACCAAAGAGAATTATTAGCTGAATTTGAATGATTCCGAGCCCTATAACAGCCCTCGTCACAGTATCCGAGCTGAAACTTCCGCTCAGTACGACGGGCCTCGGCGCCCTTGGGTACTCTCTCGGCGGCGCCGCAGCACTCAGCTCATTACTGCGCAACAACGGGCGCCTCGCGTCCGGACTGAACCTCGACGGCACGCTGCTCGGGGAGCCGGCGGCGAACAGCAGCGCGGCGGACGTGCAGAAGCCGGCGTTCCTGCTGGGCAGCGAGGGCCACGGCAGCAGCGACGGCCCGGACGACTACACGTGGATGTCGTTCCCGCGGTGGCAGACGGCGTACGAGCGGAAGATGAGCGTCAACGGTACGACGCATCACGACTTCTTCGACGACACGTTTTGGAAGACGGTCGAGCCCGGCGCGGATCAGCATGCGGGGCCTATCGATGGAGAGGAGATGGTCCGCCTTCTCAATTCGTATGTGAGGGCTTTCTTCGACCTTACTCTGCGCGGCCGTAGCTCACCGATCCTTGATGGGCCGTCGTCGGAGTTTCCTGAGGTCGTGTATTATAACGTTTCGGGCGCTTCGTGACATTCAGGTATTTAGGACTAGCTGGTCATATCAGAATCAATAGAGTTGCGGGTGTTGAAAAGACCTTTACTATTCAGTGTGAAAAACCACAGCCGCCACAAAGTAGTTAGCTGGCAATAGGCTGGCTATGTGAAGCCATTTATAGTATCATCGAGGATTTATATATTGAAAGTGTATATTTCGTCGAATCCGACGTAATGTGACCAATCAACCTTTAAGTGAATCATGTAAGGCGCCCCATCTAGCACTCATTCCACTCCCTCATCATTACTTAGGTACTTTCAAGGCAATGCCGAAAGTTTAAGAATGCCCTCATGTGGTCTGTAAAAAAGAATCATTTTGGTGTTAGGTGATTACAGCTATTTCATAACCTTATTATCATTAGCAGGTATTTGAATACACATTGATTGATTGGGTGGTACGATTAAATTCAACTCAAAATCCGAGATCGAATAAGACGAAAAGAAACAAACATGACTAGCTGCAAAAAATGAAAGAAGGCTCGTTAAAGCTGTACAGAATACGGGCACTCTATGTCCAATGAGACGTTTTACCTTTCCAATATCAAAGTTTGTTGGAAATGGCCCCAATTACAAAGTGAGAAGCAAAAGAGTTCCTAGCAGGCAAGGGCAGACACCTGCGCATGAAAAATAGTATCATCAGTTGGTAAAGTAATTTATGAAAGGTATTCCATAGGTAGGTACCTAGGTAGGTACCTAGGTAGGTAGGTACTCAAGCAATCCTTACACCCCATTTTGGCGAGAAATGGCATTGCGATATAGAATAAATAGGGGAAAAGTCCCATTGACATGATTTCATGGCTTGAAACGGCCGTCTAGATTAGAATACTAGGTATAGGGAAAGATTAACGAGGAGGCAGAATATTTTGTTCTTCTGGAAAGGAGATATTCTTCCCATAAGTGACTAGTTACGGGCGATTAGCAACCCCTTTATTTGAGGACTTAAGTTTAATTATCAATAATCAACACACAATCTGAATTCCTGCTGGCAATAGCGACCTTCTCCATTTATTGAACAACCCGGGGGCGTGAGCGCAAGTGCTGTTTGAGTGATAGGTTAAAGGTCTTGAACGAAAAGTCATTCAGTCGCATTATAAGCTAGAAAGAGGAATAGAAAAATATACCACTCTTTATGTACGACTTCTTGCAGCGATAGCTTGGTGCCTGCACCCAGAAATCACTATACGAGCACACCTCAAAATAATCTTATCGAAAATATGTACGGCTAGTTCACAAAAATATCACCTAGTTACCGGCTCTGCTATAGATGTCGTAACTTGAAGTAGCATACATCCAGGGGTAATAAAATTCATCTTGGTTCAAGTTGAAGACAAGGTAGGTCTCTCTTCATGCCGGAGATGCTAGTAGTCCACATATAATAGTTCTATGCGCTTCTACATTCTGACTCAGTTACGTTGAACGTGAGTTATGGTATTTCAACATGATCTCTCTGTTGTTGCGGATTAAAATATGTCCTTGCTGCTTAGCAGTTGGTGCTGTTGTTAGCATAACGTGTCAGTACTGCAACATTGTCTGTCCATCGGACTTTGCATTTCTGGAATATCGCAGGGGCTCAGATGTGCAGGTTCCCCAGGAGACAGGCTGATAAACCTACAGAGGATTCGATTGCTCACCGAGGACTCGATTGCACACTGAGGACTCGATTGCTCACTGAGGAAACGGCTTTAGCTACCCTCATTGGGAATTTTCTGAGCTCGGCGCTGCACCTGCCCGGGCGATTTTGATGTGGCCTCAAACACAAGAAATAATACCGTGCCTCCCACAATACTTGGGTTTATTTCCCATCACATGCCTATAAATATCATCTAGCCTTTTCCTGAACGCACGTTTCCCTTCTCACCAACCACCAGTTCCCCAATCTCACCACCGCCAACGTTGCTACTAGCAAATTTCCTCCTTGCTACGCTCCAACTTCTGGTTCACGATGAAGCATTCAGACAAAGGCAAGCCATCCCCCAAGAAGCCCCTGATGGAGAATCAATATAGAGACCAGCATCTAACCCTCCTGAGCCGAGCAGAGGGAAGCACCCTCACTCCAGCACCGGCGTCCGCAGGACTTCCTGCTCGACCGACCCCCTTGCTTCGACCAGGAGAAGCCAGCTTGCCTCCGCGACCGACTACCGTCGTTCGTCCTCGCGATGGTGGTTTGCCCCCTCGCCCGGGTGCCATGGATACACCGATCAACGATGCTCTGCCGCCCCGGCCTGATACTGTACCTCGTCCTCTCGTCGCTGGCTCGGACACATCTCTGAGCACGTCATTGCCCCCGGCTCCGCCCAGTCTGCCGCCCCGTCCGCCTACGCCGGCTAACGATATATCCCCCTATTACGAGGGATACATGGCGCTTGCTGCTAACAGAGCAGCTCTTCACTCACCCATCGGCGGCGCTGGGCTTGGTGTCGGTTATCATCAAGATCACCAGCAGGAGCATCATCTGCAGTCGCGACCTGCGGACCCCCGACCTTGGCAGTCGCGCGACCATGTCCGAGCTAACCTTGCCCAGGCGCGACCGTCTAACCTGCCTTCCGCGGGAACTCCGGCCCTTCCCAGCTCCGTGCCTGCCCGACCGACCACTGCCGCCGAGAACAACGCGCGCCGTGCAGCCCCGCTTGCCAACATCCCGAACAGTCAGGAGCGCATGCCGCGCATGCCCCGCGGAGACCAGCAACGCCCTGGCCATGTCGGCAGACGACACCAGCAGCGACACCAGAACCGACTTCGTGTCCGCCGCAGAGCTCGACAGCAGCAGCATGAGCAGCAGTATGACGAGGATGTCAAGATGGGAGATGCGGATCCCAAAGTTTGAAGAGCCCCTGACGACCTCATGATCCAGTGGTCCAGCTGATGTCGCTGGCCACCTGTTGCTACCTACAGACCATTCTCACGATGATAGTATGTTAAGACCCATCAGACCTACCCCTTACGGCGAGGTATTACTCGAGAACATTTGCTAATGTACGTGACTGCAATAAGATCGGATCATGAGCTCGCCTTCACACACGACGGATCGGGTACAAACGATACCCATTCATGGCATTTGCGCCATTCTCACGGTACATTACGACGTAATGGCCAAAGAGATAGCTTCCTTAAACGTAACTCGTAATTGCATTTTTCTTAAAAGAATAAATGATGTGACGCGATCGTGACTGCACCTTTTAATTACGTGCTAGGAATCACGACTTGTTTACGTGGCGACGATTATGTGAATAAAAAGAAAGGAGTATAAAAATTGAAGATTTTAGCTGTAAGACACCTGCCTCCACACCGGATTGAACGATGGACCTCGTCATATCGCACTACGGGAATACGAGTGACGCGCTCTACCACTGAGCTATAGAGGCTGCTTCAATGATGGATTTTGGGCATTGATTTTGGTTTCCATATTGATAACTAAATACCTTACTCGTTTTCGTGCATGAACGCGGGATTTATGAAATAATCCGTAGTGCAGTTTGCCAACAACATTAATTCACTAAGGTCATTCATAATACGATTGTTCTCCTAGTCGTAACTGCCTCCTCCCATGAAACCTTCCGATTAATATCAGTAGGTACTTATGTATTCAAGACTTTCTTTTGCTTCAATATCGAGCTCCCTTCTTCGGCTTCTTCGTCAAGCTATTCAGGGACCCAGCGGTAGCACCAAAATAATAGGGAAAAGACACCCCTGATCTGTCCAGCTTCGAGAGCTAGAGCCTCGGCGCCCGATGTTTCGAATGGGATCCATGTCAACGCGACACCAAGCTGTGCTACACGTCCTCGTGTACAGTTGAGTCAAACAAGATAGTGTCACCCACCCGCGCGCGCGATGTTATACAAGGTATTCCCTCAACGCTTGAACAGCAGTCTGAGGAGGTATACGAACGAACTCCGCCATGCCAGCTTCCACGAAATAACATCGACATGGATAGGACAGCCCAGCCGCAGATATTAGATTCAGATGGCGCTCTATTCATATTCTAGAATTACACTCCAGCCAGCCCAAAAACGTCGGTAAAGATATTCCCATATATGATTATCCGTACCAAATACAGAACCAAAGTTAAGCTCTCACCACAAAGCCGCCAGTTGAAGCAGGATGCCGACGACCATGACCAATGAAAAGCCGTACCGGACGAGGACCCATGCTACCCTTCTCATCTTCTCCTTCTGGATCTGGTCGTACATGATGCCGAAGGTCTTGGCGTCGTTGCGGCGCGGGAACGGGACGCCCTCGGGCACCTTCTTCCCCAGAAACTTGCACAGCGGCTCCCAGCCGTCTCCTAACACCCAGCAGTTCAGCGAAATGCCTCGCGGACTGTCTAGACGAAATACTCACCTAACCTATAGTGCAAAAGCTGCTCCGGCGGCACCGCCTCCGTCACCTGCGCGACGTGCTGCGCGTACACAGCGCGCAAGTTCGCGCGGAGCTGGTCGGGTCCCGCGGCGGCGAAGCGGCCGAGGAAGGACTGGCGGATGCCGTTGAGGAGGGGCTCCTTCTCGCCGGCGAGGCGCAGGAGGGCGCGCAGGAGGAGGTCGACGGTGGACCCGCGGCTGCGCGGCCAGAAGCGGTCGATGATGACCTCGTTGACGCTGCGCTCCCAGTCGTCGACGTCGCGGTGCACCAGCACCACGCGCGCGTCCGGGTACGCCGCGATCAGCGGCCCCGCGAACAGGCACCCGAAGTCGGTCACGGCGTCGAAGGAGCCTAGTACTTCGTCCCAGTCGGCGCGCGTGAAGGGTTGCGGGGGTGGTGATGTCTGCTTTTCTTCTCTTTTCCCCCACCACGATGACGATGATGATGAGGAGGACGGCGAGGAGAGCGCGGGGAAGTGGGCTCGCGCCGCCCGCTGCACCCACGTCACGTCCCAGCCTTCGAGGATCATCTCGGTCCCGTGGTGCACGCGCTTATAGCCGAGGATCCGCAGCGCCTCTGCCATGGAGGAGCTGCCTGTTCGTGGGAGCCCGAGTGAGAGTATCTTCAGCCGACCACCTGAGAGCGGCGTTTCCGGTGCTGGCGCTGGATGCGCACGTTTCGTCATGTTGTAAGGTCTAAGACGGCCTGTATAGAGCGAGGGCTACGGTTCAGACGGCTTTCGGTGCGCTGGAGAGTCGGAGGCGCGTCAGGGAAGTATCGGAGTTCGCGAGAACTGCCATTCTGGCCCAAGCAAGGAGAGAATTTAATTAGCGCGCCTGGGTGAGAAAATATCTAAGGTGCATAGGGGGGAAGGTCTCAAGTGAGCCGTGTCTCACGACACGAGGTGCCCGACGTAGGTAAGAAGTAAATGTAAGCCAAGAAGGGGCATTATAAGCGTCTTCGATCACATACGCGAACAGTTGCATATGGCTACTTTATCTGCCGTTAACTATTGAAATCGGTGCGCCTGTGTGACCGTGGATCGGACGATCTCATGCGAACTTCCGTTTAGGTGCAACGGTAACGGCGCATCAACTAGGTATCAATCAGCCTTTCTTACTTGTTTTAGACATTGAAGCTGTCAAGCCAGTTGTTCAGGTGAGACATGAGGCTTGAGACAAGGTGCTTGCTTTTGGTGATACCGGCGGCACCCTGCTTATGGAGGTGGTTAATAGGCGGGAAATAGATAGGAGAAGGGGAAAGAAAGAGGAAGAAGTAGAGAGGAATAAGATGGAATGCCACTGGACAAGCTGCCTTATAAGCGCTTTTCGTTTCCTAACTACTATAGGAGTGGCTATATCACCAGAAGAATTGGCCTCTTCCCGAGCAGACGAGCAATGAGCCAATGATATCCGATAACAGCAATAACGTTCGGCGGGGGGCTTAAGGAATGCTCTACGTCGCCTATCACTTCAGACCTGGGTAAGGTACCTGGGCAGGTTAGATGCAAAGGAGGGACCATTTAAGCCGTGCAAGTCAAATACTAATGGCTGAGAAGCGTGGTCACGACGAGAATATTCGTGGATATCTTGGTATCTAGGATACTCATGCTAATAACATAGTAACCTCTATAACCACGCAATCCCAAAACTCCCATCACTGGCTCCGATTGAGAGCGCCCCCATCTGCGACTGGGCTTGGACGGGGAGCGCTCTCCCCCTGTCCAGCTTCTTTTCCTTCTCTCAACGAGTGTCTCGTCTATATACCGCCGGCTCAAACTCGTTCGCGGGTATCGGACCGAGGGACAGTGGCCCGAGACATGCAGCGGAGCTGAGCAGACGCAGTGGCCCAGGTCCACCGCACCCACCCGAATGCAGCAATGCATCCCTCGAGAACGTGCCGGCTCGAAACTCGTATTCGCATATCGGGATGGGCGAGGGGTGACCGAAGAAGTGAACCCAAGAGGTGAACACGAGACGCAAGACGCCGGAGCGGACACAGTACCTAAGGTATAGTCCACTCCAGGACCACTGCACGCTGCGCGGTTCCTTGCTAGTCTTGCGCTCCACGCGCAACTAGGCTGTCGAGAACGTATCAGCTTTAATATTCGTTTTCGTATATCGGATTGGAAGAAGGAAGAAGAGGTTACTGACCCGAAACTTGAAACCAAGAAATAAAACCAGGAAGTCAACACGAGAGGCAACCACGAGACGTAACCGCGAGAAGTAAACCGGAGACGTAAACCCGGATCGTGGGGCACCGGAGCGGACACGGCAGGTAGTAACAGGCATATCTGCTTGCCGACCCCCACCGCGTCATACTCCGCATTCGGTGTACTCTGCGCAGTTCCTTGCTGCTCTTGTGCTCCAAGCCCAACCGAGAGTAGCGAAGTACCTGCCTGCTGTGAGCATTGTCAGTCGTTAGCGCTTATCCTTTAGACATCTATCGAAGGCTTTCTATGGAACTTACACCATCTTGACAGACGAGGCCTTGGTGGGTGAGGCCTTAATCGGTTTAACCCCTGCAGGCAAAACCTCCATAGGCGACTCCTGAACGGGTCAAGCCCCGGTAAGCAATGCCTTCGTGGGCGAAGCCTTGGTAGGCGATGCCTTGATGCGAAGCTCACCGAAGCCAGCTCAATGGAAGGCTCCTAGACGCTAGCCTCAGTAGAAGGGTCCTCGAGGCCAGCCTAGACAGACTCTTCATCTTCTCAAGAAGGTATGCACTTCCTCCATGACCGAGGCATGCACCACCACCAGCCTTAGTGGAGGGTTGAGCCAACACCTTCATGGAGGCGTGCACCACCACCTTGGCAATGGCGTCCACCATCGCCGGGTCTTGTAGAAGGGGGCGCTACCCGCATACAGCGGGGCGCCACCCTCGTACAACGGGGCACCGCCTCCTTCACCGAGGCGTGAACCGCCGGCTGCGGGAAGGTTATCAGTACGCGAACTACGACTTGATACCAATATGACTTCCAAGTCTACAGACTATGGAAGAGACTTGGACTTGGAAGGGCTTTGGGATACATGGGGATCTGCTTACCAAGCAACGTAAAGCAAAGAAAAGTAAATCAATCAAGGAATCGTCGTAAGACAGTTGTGTTGTTGTTGCATTGTCACGACCCTTTTCGAAGCTTGTCGATGGCTAGTCGATCGAAGCGACCAGTCGAAGTGGTCAATCAAAGTGGCCAGTCGACAGTCCGTTGAGCCAGTCCACAGACGGTAGAAGTTTACTTGGCGGTTTTCTGGAGATGCCGAGGCAAACGACAGCCATCGACAGCCATTCAATGGCCAGTCCATAACTAGTCGATAGCTAGTCGAAGCAGGTACTGCCGACACATGACTGGCTGTAGGGCTAGCCTAGTTCTGAGATGAAGAATGTTAAGATTTACGACGTCCATACGACCTTGATTGATTGAGGGTTCGAAGAGTAAAAGACCTGTCTTGATAGTGTATGGAATAGAAGACGGAGATGCAATAGACTTACCTAGGCTTATACCCTTATATATATATATGACGGATGTATCAAGTGTTAGGTAGTGGTGGTAGTAGGATGGGAGGATTGGGTGAAGATGGGAGAAGATGAAGAGAGAAAGGTTGGGAAATTGTTTTGAGCTAGCTGTCGAAGCGGGTCTTGTACCGGGCGAGTCGAGCGGTGAGTCGACTCGGCGACGTAAGGTGGCAGAACTCACACGTGTGGCTCGGTGACGACGATGCCCTGTAACTGACACCCCGTAACCGACTGTCGCCGAGTGCACGCGCCTGGCGGGTCTCCGCCCGGGCCGCCGCACGGGTCGCCGCATGGGTCACGCAGGCTCGGCGATGACGACACCTCGTAACTGGCCGTCGCCGAGTGCATGCGCCCAGCGGGTCTCCACACGGATCACGTAGGCTCGGCGACGGCAATGCCTCGTAACCAATTGTTGCCATGCGTACACGACTCGCAGGTCTCTCTACGAGCACATAGTGGGTCGAAACGTCAACATAGACACTTTATATCGATAGGAGGACAACGACTTGGACGCGTTATGTCGGTAGGAATACGACGCGTGTGTCTCTCGTAGGAGACAGCGTATGTCGAAAGGGGTCAGGGGTCAAGTATTCACGGACACTATACAGCACGTCCGGGGCGTGAGTAGGAAGACGAAGACGAGACAGCAACAAAAACATTCTTTTTTCGTTCCACTCGTCAGCGCAGGAGTCATTGTGTTTTCTTGGGATAAATAATAGTCATTCTGAGCAATCATCCCAACATACCATCCGTCTGTGTGTTGGCATCACCGAGGCCCCAAACAGAAACCTGTGCACATCTGTACTGCTATTTTCCCACTTGACATCTTTTTCGTACTCTCAACTCTTAATCGTACATCAGATCTTTCGCCCTCATATCTTCTTGTACTGCAATCAGTATTTCCAATCCCAACTCCTCGAACTGCACTACTTGTTTGTTGCATATCAAAGCAGTTTAAATCCAGAGTGCAGGCTAACCCTCTCTATCACCACCATGTGCCTTACTCTCTCCGATCGGCAATACGATGTTCGCGAGGAGTCGCCGCCGGAGGCTTCATACCAGAACATGAATCAGAAGCAAGAGACGAACTGCCAGCTGGACTCCGACTCGAGCTGCACCCCGAATGTCTCTGATTCAAGTCACAACGACAAGCGAAGAAAAGAGGAACGACGACGAATGAAGAATATAATCAGATCCTATCATATCCAAAGGAGACTCAAAGAATACCGAGTACACCGCCGACGCGAACTTACCCGTCAGTCTACCTCGATCTTCCGTTACCCACCATACCCAACTTTGGGCCGATGGATATTTCCAGGAGACACCAGACTCCGCATTCCGTCGATTCAAGACTACGGTTCCCGATACCTCCTGACACTCGACCCAAACTCCCGCGAAACGACCCGTACAAGAGAATGCCAACGAAATCAGACACAAAGCCACAAGATGCTGCCCGGAACGATACATGGAATGTCGATACTCCATCGCAGCCACCTCAGCACCCCGATCGACAATATAAGCTTCCGAGCTAAGTACTGGAACAGGCTCTCCCGTCTCCTCAGAACGTTCAAGAACAGGAACTTTCAAAAATGCGGCGCGCCCAAGACCGCGTGGGACTACGCGCGTGTGCTGGCAGCGAGCGAAAAGAAGTTTGTAAAGGCCAAGGAACGTGTTGAGAACCTCTGGGGTGATTCGTTGCTCACTGAGGAGACTGAGGAGTAGTGGAAGAAGTTGGAACAGCATGCTCAGCCGCGAACATCTCGTGGCTTCTGAGATGGGTGTCGAACAGGACTAGTAAGGGAAGACTGTGCGGTCTTGGAGGAGGTTTACTTGGAACCGTCTAGGCATTCGACCTACAAAGGTCGCCTAGTTATGTAGATAGATATCAGCCCAGCCATGGCGTAATATGAAAGCATACATCGTTTACCAGTGATACCGTTTGGATGATTGGTAGCTCTTCCAGTGGAACATCCAGGAGAGCCTGACTGAGTCATGATCGTATATATCAAAATGGTAGAAACATGTGCTTCCTTATTCAGGCATTTATGTGTACATGTATATATCCATTCTGTGCTTTGAGTATGTGCAAGACCGGATGGAAGCCGCAATACAAGCCAGTCACCAACCAATTTTCCCTTTCTCTTGTACAACGTCGACCTGATAAACAGGCATCTAGGAAAGGCCAAAGTCGAGGGCCCATCCACCTCCTCTAGACAATCAGCTTCGTAAGCAGTTTCCCCTGGTTCGCGCCGGTGAACAAGCTCATCCAGACCTCGGGCTGCTTTTCGATGGGGGCCTCGACGACAGTCTCGCCGCTCCCAAGCTTAATCCGGCCATCCCCGGCCGCAGTAACAAGCTCCTTCAGGATAGCCGGCGCCTCGTCGAGGTAGTCGAGCATGATAAATCCACGTATAGTAATACGCATAGACACGACCTCGAACCAATTCCTCAGCGCCATAGGCTTCGCCTCAGCGTCCTCGTTGTACGCGCTGACAGCGCCGCACACAGCCACGGTGCCGCCCTTCCGCATGCGGGTCAGCACGGCGTCGAGCACCGCGCCGCCGACGTTGTCAAAGTACACGTCGACGGCGGCGCCGGGCGTGGTGGCGGCCAGGTCCGCGGCGAACGTCGGGCTGCGGTAGTTGACGCAGGCGTCGGCGCCGAGCTCGTCGCGCACCCACGCGCACTTGGCGTCGGACCCGGCGATGCCGACGACGCGGCCCGCGCCCAGCAGCCGCGCCGCGATCTGCACGGCCATGGACCCGGTCGCGCCCGCCGCCGCCGAAATCACCACCGTGTCGCCGCGCTTGACGCCGCCGGCCCGCGCGAGCCCCGTGTACGCGGCGAGCCCGGACGCGCCGAACGCGCCAAGGTAGTGTGTGAGGGGGAGACCGTTGGGCAGCGGCGCGAGGGCCTGCGCGGTGGCAGAGTCCAGCACGACGAGCTCGCTCCACGTGCCGAGGTGGAAGTCCATGACGAGGTCGCCGGGCTTGCGGTCGGGCGCGGCGGACTCGAGGACCTCGGCGATGAGCCCGGACCGCATGGGCGCGCCGACGGGCACGGGCGGCACGTAGAAGCGCTCGGGCGCGACGGTGCTCTGGATGAAGTTGCGCAGCCCCGTGTCGTTAGAGAAGTAGCGCACCTAGCACAGCAGCTAGCCCTCCTTGAGCGCCAGCAGCGTCGCCGTCTCCAGCCGGAACGTGGCGTCGGGCCCGGAGAGCACCGGGGCCCCCGTCGGCTTCGCGGCTAGGATCCACTGCTTCGTGGTGCGGGATGCCATGGCTGATTCGTCGGTGCTGTGGGCTGTCGCTGGAACTGGCAATACCCTTCTTGTCCGTGCGTTGCGACCTTACATGGACCCTCAGGGCCCCCCTGTGCTTCGGTATTTATACTCGTACGCCTTACCTCGGCTTCGAGGACCCCTAAGTCGGTCCGACGTTGACCGCCTCACGTAGTTCTATGTGTCCCCATCGCCTAAGCTGCTCTAAGGTAGTAGTGAGCGACTAAAACCTCACGTACCCCTCCCGACATGGCAAATACCCCCTAGTGACTAATCGATTCATGCGGTGGTGATATAGTATCTTATCTCCTTAAATAAGTATCTCTACGCGTGGTGCGGTAGCATCTTATCGTGAGCCTGCTTTACTATTTTGGGCCGTTCTCCGTATACGTTGACTTGGCAAAACAATGGAAGACGTAGAGCTGAAGGAAGAAAATGGCAAAAGAGACAAATGGATTGCCCAACACAGGAATCGAACCTGTTGCCTCCTCATTTCATGTGTTTGCCTTGCAAAGAACGGTACTAGTGAGGCGCTCTACCGATGAGCTAGTCGGGCCAGGATACGACAAATCATGTATTCTTCAATAAAGATAGCTAAAGATGAATGAATTTATATACAATGCTCCACCTCGGACCAAAGCTTTTGAAATCGGGTTGCGCCGTCAGTAATCCGTCTCATCACCTTTGATGGAGTGCGCTGGCGCATTGTGAGCATAAGGTCGTGAACGGCAAAGAATTTAAAGAGGTCTAAAGGGGTCTTACAGTTTTAGAGTCATTGGAAAATAAAAGATTCATACGCTATACCCTTTTGGGCAGTCGCTTTCTCCGCTTTCCAATGAAACTAGCTATAAATCCCTGCTCATCATGTACCGCGCTAGACAGGGTAGCTGTTTTAACCAGAAAGGGTATAGCGCCTGTGTTTTGTCAGCTTTGGCACTCATAACCAGGGTTTATAAATTTTTCCATAACCTACCCTTGCTCAAGGTGCCTTATAGGATAACTCAGGGTTATGCTCCCCGGCGCTGATTACTAATACAAGTCCTCCTTTTGGGCGGCAGCTGCAAGCCAGCTGCCACTGACTACACTGCTGTATTTCAAGGCCATGCATGCTGGAATGCGCTGTAATTCCAGGTAGGAATAGTGGGCAACTAACTGCCCTATATTACAGGGCGCTGGAGCCTGACAGCTGGCGGCGTATGTGCGCTGTAATGTGCTGTATTTCTCAGGCTGTATGGCGCTGTAATACGCTGTAATGCGCCGTAGCTTTCAGGGGCTTTAGGGCTAAAATTCGAAAAAATTAGGTACCAGCTGTGGTGCCCTATAATGCCCTGGAATTTATAGCACGTTGTCCACTGTAAAGCGCTGTAATTATAGGGCTTTCCAGGGACTTGAAATACGGTGCTGATGTACAGTGATTCAGTGCTATTAGCATCGTGACTAGCAGGGAAATTGAAATACATACTAGCGCTAACTATAATATATGGGACGCCATGTATCTTCATTTTTTATAAGACCCCTTTAAAAATTTATAAATTTTCTGCCGTTCACGACCTAAGTCAAGAACAAACAGAGGCGAAGTTACGCGCTATTGTTTGAAGAGGAATATGGATGGCTACAGCAACATCCAGTCTTCTAACAACTAAGGAAGCAGTGATAATACGATAAGTATCTCCGTGTGAGGTGAACAGATGGCGGCTTGGACGGCCTTCTAGATTTCTTGATGACGTTCTGGTACCTAGAGGTCACTCCAATAGTATTTTCCATACGCATATGTACAAACTAGTCCGGCCAGGCATCCTAGCTATGACCTTCCAACTTGCAATTTTCGTTACGCGGCATCCATATAATGTACACCTCCCAAACCAACCTTGATACCTCACAACTTCGAGAACACAGTCGGCGCGGTCCCCTCCATCTCGACGAGCGTGCTCTTGTTGCGGACCCAGGCCTCGAGGCCCCTGCGGCCGTTCTCGACGCCGACGCCGCTCTGCTTCCAGCCGCCGACGGCCATCTCGGCCGGGCTCTCGCCCCACGTGTTGACCCACGTGATGCCGGCCTGGAGGCGCGCGATGGCCGCGTGGCACGCGTCGACGTCGCGCCCGACGACGCCGGCCGCGAGCCCCAGTTCCGTCGCGTTAGCCCGCTCCAGCGCCTCGTCCACCGTGTCGTACGTCAGGATCGCCATCACCGGCCCAAAAATCTCGTTCTTCACGATCCCCATGTCGTCCTTGCAGTCCGTGAACACGGTCGGACGTACCCAGTAACCGTTCTTCAGTCTGGCAGGAAGGTCCGTCGGCAGTTCCGGCCCGCCGCAGAGCAGCGTTGCCTTGTCGAAGACGATGCCGTGCTTCACGTACGCCGTCACCTTGTCGTGGTGGACCTTGCTACTTAGGGGGCCGAAGTTGGTCGCCAGGTCGAAGAGGTCCCCGGCGCGCACGTATTTCATCTTGTCGAGGAGGGCGCGCTCGAACGATTTCTTCATCGAACGTGGGACAAACACCCGCGTGCCGTTGGTGCATACCTGCCCTGTGCTGTAGAAATTTGCCATCATCGCTACATCTACGGCCTGATCGACGGCAGCATCCGGCAAGATTACAAGCGGGCTCTTGCCGCCGAGCTCCATCGTCACGTACTTCATCTCTCCAGCAGCGGCGCCAGCCACCTTCTTCCCTGTGCTAACCTGACCGGTGAAGCTAACCTTGGCGATAGCAGGGTGTTTTGTCAGAGAGGCACCCACGTCGCCGGCCCCATAGACGACGTTGAAAACGCCGTCCGGGACACCGGCTTCGCGATATATGTCCGCTAGAAAATCTGCATGTAGCGGCGTGAACTCGCTTGGTTTGTACACCATGCAATTTCCGGCGGCAAGACAGGGCGCCGACTTCCATAGAGCGATCTGGATAGGGTAGTTCCAAGCGCCAATGCCTGCGCACACTCCCAAGGGCTCCTTGGCCGTGTAGACCATTGCCGAGGGTCTGAGGCGGAAGGACTCTCCATTTAGCCCACCACTGCCTACTAAGTTGGCGAAGTACTCGAGCACGTCCGCTCCAGTGACTATATCGACTGTCGACGTCTCCGAGAATGGCTTGCCGGTGTCGAGGGTCTCGATCCTCGCAAGAGCATCGTTGTGCTGACGTAACAAGCCAACTGCGCGCTGCAGGATTCGCGCCCGCTCCACTGGCGACGTGCCAGACCATGACGGGAATGCCGACTGGGCAGACTGGATTGCAGCGTCGACTGATCTGGGAGACGAGTTGTGTATTTTACATATCGACTCTCCGTTTGAAGGATTGATCGATTCGTACTGGCCAGACGACTCTGACGTCGGTTGCGGTTTGCCCGCGTAAAACGTGTATCGATCCATGTCCTTGAACGCCATGTTGTCGAGGCCGATGAAGTGGTATTTGAACTCGTACGATTCAATTATATGCAGCGCGGATCCCGACAATGAAAGATGAAGGATCAAGCGGTGAGCGGCAAGACTGTCTATTGTTGATAAGAATCGATGGTGAGCTTTTCTCCAAATCTTCTGGTGAGTCGTTCGTATCCCTTCGACTAGCTCTAGGTAGTCTGTGACGGTTGAGCTAGGTAGCTACTAGTCTCACCAAAGCCTTAACGTGATATTCCTGTCGGTTATGACCTGCTGGCAAAATTTCACCGAAACAGGACGAACTTTTAGAGTCTCTTAGCTATTGCCGCTCACCGTTTCAGGGCCTGAAGCGGAGAAAGGATAAGCGTTGTTGATCTTCTGCGGCTCTTCTCTCGAGCTGACCCCGCCGGCCCCGCAAGAGGACTCGGTCCGCCCTGTCAGCTTCGCTCTGATTGGTCGCTATCTGGTTTGTCTTCGGGCTGATGGGGCCTGGCAGGCGGGCAGTGGGCGGACGAAGAAGGCTGGGAGGCCTTTTCGCTTGTTAGTTTTCGGGGCGAACTAGTGTCGAGTGCGGGCTTTTGGTATGCCTACTACTATGTAGTGCGTAGAAAGAAGAAAGATAACGGCTCCAGGTGTGGAAATCTTGAGGCAAAATAGCCCGCATTAGCTCTAGGAGGCTGGGTAGACTTTCCCACCTTCGGACTGGACCGGCCACCCACCTGTCCGCTTAGTCCTGTCGAGTTTCGTACAGATAAGGATCCCCATGCTGTAAAATTGTGCAATGTCTGACCGATTCCCGAACCGGCTTGGCAGTATTTGTTAGTCGGCCGCCCCCCGAAGGATTCTTAACATTAATAGATGCTGACCGCCTTCATGTCCGAGGTGAGACATTCCAGAACAAGAGAGTATTACATCGCAGAACGCCTCTCTTCTCAAGTTAGCTGATAGAAAACATGACTACCGCTCAGCTTCCCCTGTCAGACTTCAACAAGTACGACTATGTAGTCGTCGGTGGGGGCACGGCTGGTTGCGTTGTCGCTGCCAGGTTGGCAGAGTATCTCCCGCATAAGCACGTTCTTCTCATCGAGGCCGGTCCTAGTGACTTTATGGATGACAGAGTCCTCGATCTGAAGCAATGGCTGCACTTGCTCGGCGGTGAGCTTGACTATGACTACGGCACCACCGAACAACCTATGGGTGAGTCGCATTGCGTCGAGCTGATATACTTCACTTTTCTGACCATAATCCACAGGTAACTCCTTCATAAGGCACGCACGAGCCAAGGTTCTCGGAGGCTGCTCCTCGCACAACACCTTGATTTCCTTCCGGCCATTCCAATATGACTTGGATATCTGGCAGTCGCTGGGAGCACGGGGATGGACGTTTCCTATCTTCATGAAGGCCCTGGATAGGCTAAGGAATACCGTTCAGCCGGTTCACGCCAAACATCGAAACCAACTGTGCCAGGACTGGGTCGACTCGTGCAGCTCAGCGCTCGACATCCCGGTAGCCAAGGACTTCAACAAGCACATATCAGAAACAGGATCCCTGAAACCAAGCGTTGGCTTCTTCTCAGTGAGCTATAATCCGGATGATGGAAGACGGTCTAGTGCATCTGTTGCGTACATCCATCCGATATTAAGAGGAGAGGAGAAGCGGCCAAATCTGACCATCTTGACGGACGCATGGGTATCGAAAATCAACGTCAGCGGTGATGTCGTTGACAGTATCAGCCTATCGCTTAAAGACGGTTCGTCGCGCAACATCAAGGCCAAGTCCGAGATAATCCTCAGCGCTGGAGCCGTGGACACTCCTCGTCTGATGATGCTGTCCGGTATCGGACCCAAGAAACAGCTGTCAGACCTCGGAATCCCTGTTGTCCGTGACATTGCGGGCGTCGGAGAGAATTTGCAGGACCACCCCGAGAGTATCATCATGTGGGAGTTGAAGAAGCCGGTTCCGGCAAACCAGACAACGATGGACTCGGACGCGGGCATCTTCTTGCGTCGCGAGGCGCCCGGTGCTGGCGCTAAGAAGTCGGCTGCCAATCCCAACGGTCTTTCTGATGGAGATATCGCCGATGTCATGATGCACTGCTACCAGATTCCGTTCACACTCAACACGCTTCGACTAGGCTACCCAGACGTCCCAGACGGCTACGCCTTCTGCATGACGCCCAACATCCC